GGGGGGGGGCGTGCTGGAGGCAGCCGATCAATGACTCTCTCATCATTGATGTTTCCATCTCTCCCTCTCCCTTACTCTCTCTCTGAAATCAATAAAAACCATTAAAAAAAAAAAATCTTCCTAGAGGACTGCAGGTTGGTTTAAAAAAAAAAAAAACACCAAAAAACTTCACTTGCCGCCCTGGCCAGTGTGTCTCAGTTGGTCCCCAGCTTGATTCCCAGTCAGGGCACATACCCAAGTTGCGGGCTCGATTTCCACTAGGTGCGTGCAGGAGGCAGCCGGATTAATGTTTCTTTCTCTTTCTCTCTTTCCCCTCCCTCCCTTTCTCTCTCTCTCCCTTTTTCTCTTTCTCTTCTCCTCCTTCTTCCCTCTAAAATCAATAAAAACATATTAAAAAACACACAACTTCACTTGCAGAATTTTAATAGAAGGAAAATAAAAGGTAATGCTTTCTAAAAGAAATTATGTTGTTTTGTGGCTCCAACAACATTCACAGGTCAAATCTGTTCAAAGATTTTTTTAAAAAATATATATCTTTATTGATTTCAGAGAGAAGAAAGGGGAGAGGGAGAGGGGGAGGGGGGGAGAGAGAGAGAGAGAGAGAGAAACATCAATGATGAGTCATTGATCAGCTGCCTCCTGCATGCCCCCAGCTGGGCATCGTGCTGTGACTAGTAATCGAACCCCGATCACCTGGATCCTAGGTCGACGCTCAACCACTGAACCACGCCTGGCTGGGCATGTTCAAGGATTTCTTAAACAAAAATATTCAGAAACTAGTATCAGCTTTCAGTTAAGAAAAAAATCAGCCACCGTATATAAAATACATTATTAATAAAACAAGCATTTCATTCTAAATATTATTTATCACATATTATTATAAATTATTTAAAAGATATAAAAATCTGGTTCAAGAAAGGCAGGTATAGCCCTGGCCCACGTGGCTCAGTTGGTTGAATACCGTGCCACGCACCAAAGGGTCACCAGTTCGATTCCCAGTCAGGGTGCATGCCGGGGGGTTGCGGGTTCGATCCCCAGTGGGTATATGTGCAGGAGGCAGCCAACCAATGTTTCTCTTTCACATCGATGCTTTTCTCTCTCCCCTTCCTCCTGCCTTCTTCTCTCTCTAAAATCAATAAACGTATTTTTAAAAAAATAAGGCAGGCATATATTCCAAATTCAAAACCATGTAACAGATTTGCAATCCTTTACAGACATTTTAATATCTTTAATTTAAACAATATATAAATCAAAATACCTTTACATGAGACTTCTATACCAGAGGTATTGAATCAGTGATTTGCAACAGCATAAATTAAAAGGGAAAAAAAATAAGTTGCAAAGAGAAAGTAAGCAGAACAACTTTCTGGCTGCCTTTCAGAATAACGGCTCATGTATTTCTCTAAAGAATAAAATCTACAGCTTTTCACATTAGTTCTCACTAACATAAGCTAACTATGTAAGTGTTTAATCAGAAAAACTATTGAGATTTCTAATTTGGTTGCATGTTAATTTGTCCTTATTTCAGACACCTGTGGCTGTGCACAACAGAGTAATAAACACTGTCTTATTAGAAGTCTTGGATAGGGAAGTAAAGAAACTGTCAACTCATTCCACTAAAGTAAACATGTTATGACAATGTTTCCAGGAGCTTTCCTTTTTTGAATGCTAAATTTAAGCCTGGGGATAGAGAGCAACTACAAACACAACAATGAAAGATTCCCTAGAAGTTAGGTTTTTATTACATTATCTAATTATTCTTCTATACCCAATTAAAATTGTATCCTTTAACCCCATTTGATTTTGCTTTCAAACAAGGATAAGCAACATGTAAATTAATTGTAAAACAACAATTGCTAGTCCTGAAATGGAGTTTTCTGAACTATATATTATTAAGAAATATTTAAACAAATTATGTGTTCTAAAAATGAAATAAAAGCATTTACAAATCAAAATACACAATCAAAAAAAAAAAAAAACTAATTTAAAAATAGGCAAAGGATAGGAATCGAAACTTCCAAAGAAGATATACAAATAGCCAAAAAACTGAGGAAAAGATGTTCAACATTGTGAGTCATAGGGAAATACAAACCAAAACTACAACGGATACTACCACTTCGCACCCTACAGGATGGCTATAATCAAAAAGACAGTAACAAGTGTTGACAGGATGTGGAGAAATCCACATCCCTCATATTCTGTTGGTGGGAATGTAAAATGATGTAGCCATTGTGGGGCAATTTAGGGGCTTTTCAAAACATTAAGCATAGCATTACTATATGACCAAGCAATTCCTCTCCTGGGTAAAAGTCCAAGAGATATAAATATAAAAACATATTTTATTGTACACAAATTGTACACACATATTCATAGCAGCATGATTTACAATATCCAAAAAGTGGAAACAACCCAAATGTCCATCAACTGATGAATGGGTAAATAAAATGTGGCATGTGCATACAATGAAATATTACTTTGCAATAAAAAGGAATGAAGTATTGATATATGCTACAGCATGAATCTTGAAAACATTATGTTAAGTGAAAAAGCCAGACACAAAAGACAACATATTGTACCATTCTATTTATATAAAATTTCCAGAATAGAAAACCTATGGAGACCAAAAATAGATTGCAGTTTGGGAATTTAGGTGAAAAAGGGGACTGACTGCTAATATTGATTGTAGTGACGGTTGCACAACTGTTAACATAGTAAAAACCATTGAACTGAATTGTGCATTTGAATTATATGTGAAACTCTTAAAATTTTTAAAGCAAAAAATAACCAAGACATAAAACTTCTAAAAGGAATATGTATTTCTTTTATACTTGGGGAAAATATATGTACTTCTTAAATCACAATCATCCACTGGAACATATTATAATCAAATCTGCGGAGCATGCAACATAGATAAGACTCAAAAAGTGTTGGAAGCCCTAGCCGGTTTGGGTCAGTGGTTAGAGCATCGGCCCATGGACTGAGGAGTCCGGGGTTCGATTCCTGCAGATACCTCGGCTGCAGGTTCAGTCCCCCACTGCGGTAGGGGTGAGTACCGGAGGCAACCAGTCGACACATAGGATGTTTCTTCTCTCTCTCCCTTCCAGTCTCTCTGGAAAGCAATGGAAAAAAAACCCTCAGGTGGAGATTAAGAAGAAAAAGAAAAAGAGAAGTCAGAAGGGAGGGCCTCTTCAATATCCTAAACTTTAAGTTACTGAAGAGAGTGCTTACATGCTTTTATTTATGAGACATACAAGTTAAGATAGATGGGATCACAAATAGTCCTTCCTCAGAAGAGAAGTTATGTGTAAATAAAGTGTGGGAAAGATGACACTAGTGCTTATTAAGGAATTTTAAATGGATGTGATCCCAACAAACTACAATATCAGAGTCTAAAGGCTATCAATAGCTGCTTTCTTTACTTGTTTACCCTCTCTAAAATTTACTTCTAACCTGAGAAAACTCTATTAATTCATTTTAATTTGTGATAAAGAGCTGTGGTGGAGCCTAAGCTGAAAGAATAGTTTTAAGTGTTATGATGTTTTCACTAAGTAAGGACAATAAACCCCTCACAGTTACAGAGCTGGAAGAGTCTTGTACTTTAATATTAGTTTGCATCTTCTTTAGGAATTTTCTTTTTGGTCTTCAGACCAAACTTTTTTTTCATCTTGTTTAGAAAAATATTTAAAAGTAAACAGAGCAAAAGTAAAATGTAGTTCAGACTGTGATCTTCACAAACTCAAATTAAGAACAACTTAATAAATTTTTACTGCATTTCCCTTCGTTTCTGCTGCTGCATCTTCTTGGGAATTCCACTAAACAAGAACTAGATCATTGGTCTCTGGCACCAGTTTTATAACTGGTTTCCTCAGGCACCTCAACAAGTTGAAGCTCTAACCTACTTGGTAGTCTGCACCTTTACGACTGGGAAAACAGCCAGTATCACTGGGCCAACAGACACAAAATTTGATGGGAATAAAAGAAAATATTACTTTGACTAAATAACAGATTAGTTATCAATATGGGTAATAATAAGATGAAATGAAGATGGAAAATCACGATTACCATTTTACTATTTACTTGTAATACTGCTTTTTCTTTTTCAAATCTCTCTGATCCACGAAAGGCCAATGGGGGCTGAAAATCCTTAGGTGGTTGTAATTTTAAGGAGAAAGTAAATGAAAACTGACCTAGACTAAAAAAGTCGGTTAAAAAAAAAGCAAAAAAAAAAGCAAAGACTTATCATTCAACAATGTATTTCTTTAAACTCTTTACCTCTACTCCTGTCATTTATTCCATCCACTATGACTTGAGTGCCCTCCTCAATTCACCCAAAATAACTCAATGACCAACAGCCCCACAGCGCTGGGCTAAAACTTTGTTCCTAACATTCACTGTTGACTTGCCATCAAAGGTCACTCCCTTCCTAGTAGCTTTCCAAATGGAGGGCCTTAGAGGTGGGGCCTGAGTTGTTTTGGTCCATTCATAATCATTCTGGACAATCTGTTCTAAAGGGTGTTCCCAGTCCTTGAAGAAAGAAGACAAGGAGCTTATTAAAGTAATCACCTTCCAACTCTGCTACCTACACGAGCATATTCATATTACAGTTTCAGTACAGTACTTGGGTCTGAATGGTTTCAACCCGGGACATAACTGTTCCCACTACGCTGTGGCCAAACCCCACATTATTAATTTCTGTTTGTTGAAAGCTGCTCCCTCAAAGTTACATAACGTTTGTTCTCCACCCAACTACCCCCAACTCCTAGACAAAAAATTTTTTTAATCTCGCAGCCTCCGCCACTACTTTCTCACACTCAGTATAACGAAACCCTCCTTTCCGCACGTTCATCAACGCTGTTGACAGACCGAACCGGCGTCCAACGCGCTGGAGGGGCAGAGACGGAGCAGCGCCGCGGGCGTCCTCTGGCGCCCAGGGCAGTCCCAGGAACAAAGTAGGGACTCGGGTAAGGACGCATTTTGCGGTGGAGGAGCCCAGGCTCCGCTTATCTCAGGGAAAGGAATCGGGAAGAAAAAGGAGGGCGATTTTACCCAAAACACCAGGAAGAGTCTTTCCCTCCCCTCTTGCAAGACCTGGCCTAAAGGGCAAAGGCCCTTATGTTGGGGACCTGATGGGAGCGCGGGGGAAAGGAGGGCCAGGAAGAGTTGCAGGCTCTCCCGGGCAGAAGAGCAGCTCTGGGGGCTGTTTGAGAAGAAAGAGGGAAGGAAAGAGGCCGGATCGGTGGCCTCCCCCAGCCGCTCCCTCCTAGGGGAGGCCGGAGGGCCCGACGCGGCGGTTACCCCGTCAGAGCCGGGCCGCTCCGGGATGCCCTGGAGTCAGGTCCTCCCCCGGGGCTCGGCCTGCGAGGGCCAGACGTCCCCGCCCGGGTGCCGGCACTCACCCCCGCGGTCTCCTCAGCCGAACATTCCAGCAAACTCTGGTCCATGGCCGGCACCTCCGGCTCCGGCTCCGACGCCATCTTCCCTCGTCTTCCTCCCCAGCGCTGACGCCGCTACCGCCGCCCCAAGGGCCGCGGCCTCGCCACAGCCCAGGCGGCCGAGCCCGCCACCTCTGCCCCGGGCAGTGGGTCCGGAGCCGTCCGGGCGGCGGCCGGGGGTACAACACGGAGAGGAGCGCGAGGTGAGCAGGTCAGGAGGGACGGCGACCTCCTGCGCTCCCCGCCGGGCTCGACGCCCAAGAGTCAAGTCACCGCCTCGACCCTGCTCCCGGGAAGGGCACGGACTACCCCGGGCCTGGCACCCTCGCTCGCTTCTACCGTGTCCCGCACGGGGAAAGGGGCAATAACACCCAAGAGAGGAAGCAAGGCTTTCTGGGAACTGTAGTAGGCCTCGGCCGGGCCGGGAAGGATTGTTACCTTATAGGGCGCGCTCACGGTCCTTGTGGGAGTTGTAGTCCGCCCGCTAACGAGAGGCTGGGCAAATGGCAGGTAAGTGGGCGGGGCTTTCCTGCGCCAGTAGAATCGCGGAAAGAAGCGCCCACCTGGACAGAGGCGGAAGAGCGAGATATTGTGGGAACTGTAGTTTTTTAACCCCAATCCCATTTGTTCTTCTTCTTTTTTTTTTTTTTGTATCTGCAGATTCTAGAACAGTGCCTGGCTCGTGGTAGACACTCAAGTACTTTTCAAAGCCTCGCACGTGGTGGGCGCTCAAAGACTTGTCGAATGAATGAATTGCATTCTATTCCTACAGTTCTGTAGCCCTGTCACTTATCGTTCCTTCCTGTAGACGAGTAGCTGAAGTGAACATTACCCATGTTTAAACGCTATTAAAGAAAACATTTCCAAACGACTTAGTTCGGATCACTTATCAAAATGTATTACAAGCCTTGGTGCAAAGGAAAAGGAGTCGAGTAAATTCAAAGATTTACTCTTGATGGGGACGTTTTACAGGAAGAGATAATCGTTAGGTTAGATATAAAATAAAATTGTGTCTGGTTACAGATAATTAGGCACTTGACTGACAGTTGGAGTGAATGGGTTTTGTAGAACAAGTCTTTGATTCCCTTAGACTTATCAGCTAATTGCTTACACATTTTACCAGGCATGTTAATTTATTCTCAGGAGGAGACTGTGAATTACATTAGGAGAAAAAAAAAAAAGTTGGGACGTTTTTGTTATTGTCGTTAACAGTACTATAATATTAACCAAGTTTTTTTTTTTTTAAGGAAATAAAAATTACCCAGAACCTCATAGTCCAAATAAACCTTGTTATCACTTTTAAAAATAAGTAATATATGTATAAGATTAGAAATTCAAATTCAATAGGAATAATTTTAAAGGAAAAATAAAAACTACTCCCTTTACCCCAAGTTCCTCTCCCCAAAGAAAATCATTTTTAATACTTTCTTATGATTCTATCCAGAAAAATGTATGCATACATCTGCATAGATATTTAAAATGAGATATCTTCAAATGTTCTTCTGTGTATTGCTTTCTTCTTTGCCTGACTTCCTTGTGCTGATGTGCTCCCTAGTCGTAGTGAACTTGGAGGAATACTGACTGGGATTGTTACAACCCAGAAGCAAAGATACTGCCTCTCTAAGGGTCCTAACAGAATTAAAGACAGTAAAATACATAGATTGTAAAGAAATGTTATGCTCTTAACATTATTATTTTCTTCCTTTTCTTACTTTTGGATTGCTTTTAATGTTATTTTTCTAAATTCTCAAGTTGGATGCTTGCTATTAACCTTTCTCTTTCTTTCAACATGTACATCTAAGGCAGTGGTCCTTAAACTTGAATCGCTGGAAGATCTTGATGAGATACAGATTTCTGGACCCCACTTCAGAATTTCTTTTTCAGGTTTTGGGTGGAGACTGAAAATTTGCATTTTTATCAAGTTCCTGGGCCATTCTCTTGGCCTGGGACCAACTCTGAGAATCACAGATTTATTAAAGCAGTGCATTTCCATTGTATACTGCTTTAACCACATTCTACAAATTTTGGTATATAGTGTTTTTATTATCATTCATTTCTAAATATTTTCTAATTTTATTATGATTTCTTCTTTGGCCCATGTGGTATGTTTTAAAATTTTCAAATATTTATGGCATTGTTATCTTTTGTTACTGATTTCTCACTGTATCGTATGTTGGGCAGGGAACACGGTCTTTATAATATAGATTCTTTGGTTTTTGATGACATTTGCTTTGTAATACGGTCAAGTAACTCTTCAAAGCCATTATTTCTTCAAATACTGCCTTTCTCACATTCTTTCTATTTCCTTCTTCTGTAACTTCTGTTTGACTTCCTTTTTATTCTCTATGACTTTTAATCCTTTTCATTTTTCCATAGTTTTAACTGTCTGTGATACATTCTGGGTATATCTTCTAGCATTCAATTTTCTTTTCAGCTGTGTCTAATCTGATATTGAACTTACCTACTACTGACTTTTTATTTTCAATGACTTCATTTCTCATTTCTAGAAATTCTATCCAGTTCATTTTCAAACATTCCTGTTCCTTTTTCATAATGTCTTATTATTTACTTATGGTGCTAAATCTTTGTTTTACATCTTTAATGGTTTTAAATATGCTTATTCAGTAGTGTTCATTAGATTGTTGTACTTTTAGAGATCATCTTGGGAATTTTTCTTTTAATCCTCACCTGGGTATATTTTTTCCATTGCTTTTCAGAGAGAGTGGAAGGAAGAGGGAGAGAGAGAGAAACATTGATGTGAGAGAGACACATCAATTAGTTGCCTCCTGCACGTGCCCCTATGGGGGCCAAGCCTGCAACCGAGCTACTTGCCCTTGACCAGAATCGAACCCAGGACTCTTCAGTCCATGGCCCCACACTCTAACCACTGAACCAAACTGGCGAGGGCTCATCTTGGGAATGTAATCATACTTCGTGTGTGCAAATCCTCATTTAAATGATTGTTTCCTTTTTGCTTGTAATTATGAATTTTGAGATCATCTTGACTTAGAATTAGCTGTGGGAATATTGAGAGGCCTGTGTTAGGAGCATGTACCTTCAAAGTAGCCTTCCACATGCTTCTGCAAGGCCAGGCATTCTAGGAACATCATATACTCAGGACCAGGCCCTCTAGGAGTATCGTATACGCAGGACCAATTTTTATGTCAGCTTCTTGGCTTGAGGCTTTCCTACTCACAATAATTCAATTGTGTGGCATTATCTCTGCTCATAAATTCTTAAGTGAGAGTTCTTTTTCCTACTCAGAGTGAAGGTTAAAAGCTTCCTTGTCATTTCCCTCTGCTCCAGTGAGTCTATTTTTTCACTGATGTTACATTGCTTTGAAAGCCCTGGATTTAGGTGGGGATCTCACTGTCAATTTGTGTTTCTTGGACCTAAGGTCTTGACCTGTGTTCCCATGTGGGCATTAAAAGCAGAGCTCCAACTTCCAGTTAAACACGACGTATTGAATACCTCGTGACAGTAAAGGCGGAAAAAGAAAGACTAGGAGTGGGAATGACAGCACCAAAATTTTGGAAAAGATGGAAAGCAAGTGGGTGAATACTGAGTCCACGCCGGCGCAGGGCAGCCCAACATCCAGCTGATCCGTGTGCCCAGCTCCGCAAGACTTAGAAACTTGAAGCCCTGAGTTACTCTGAAAGTGGGTGAAATGACGATTAAAAACAAGACTATTTGAAAGTCTGTATGGCAAGAAGCTAGATTACCCCATCTCCATCCTGGAAGAGCCTGGAGGTTTGTCCTCGGGGCTGGCTGTCCCTGGAGGCAGCAGGTACGGCTAAGGCAGGGACATTGTGCCGACTGCTAGGGCGTGAATTCAGGGCGTGCACACTGACGGGGCTCACCCCGGTGCGGCTCCCCTCGCTCTCAGAAGGCCAGTGGCTGCTTCTAACCCCCCAGGCAGGAGCTTGAAAGAGTGTTGTCCAGGGACACTGGCCAACCCGAAAGGAGGAAAACCCGCCGCGGGGTGGAGCCTTATGTTAGACTGCTCGGGCTGCTATAGCAGTGGCACAGACTGAGTGGCTTAAACGACAGAAACTTATTTTCTCATAGTTCTGGAATTTGGAAGCTCAAGATGAAGGTGCCAGCAGGGTTGGTTTGTGGTGAAGCCTCTCTTCCTGGCTTGCAGATGGCCACCTTCTCTCTGTGACCTCACAGGGCCTTTTGTGTGTGTGTGTGTGTGTGTGTGTGTGTGTGTGTGGAGAGAGAGAGAGAGTGTGTGTGTGTGTTCTCTGATGTCTCTTCCTCTTCTTATAGGGACACCAGTCCTATTGGACTAGGGCCCCACTCTTATGACCTCGTTTAACCTTAATTACCTCCTTAAGGACCCTGTCTCCAAATATAGTCACGCTGGGGGTTAAGGCTTTGACCTGTGAATTTGGGGGAGAGGGACACAATTTAGTCCATAACAGACCCCAACGAAATGCTACAGTCAGATCATCTCACCCATGTACAAAGAACTCCCAGTCATCTTTTTAGTGACCCATTTTTAACTATGAGCAGGGAAGCAGTTGTGCACAGATATTTGAGCAAAGTCTATAAAAGAGAGGTTAAAAAATATGAGAAAGAAGGAAACAGAAACAAGTCAGAGTTGAAAAGAACTTTTAAAAATGTCACTGGAGCACTGGCCAGTTGTTGCTCAATGGTTAGAGCGTCAGCCCGCACAGGGAAGGGCCTCAGGTCCGATTTCTGGTTAAGGGCAGGTCTGATCCCCGGCCCCTGTTGGGACGAGCGTGGGAGGCAACTAATCGATGTGTCTCTCTCACATTGATGTCAGTCTCTTTCTCTCTCTCTCTCTCTCTCCCTCCCTTCCACTCTCTCTAAAATCAATGGAAAAAATATCCTTAGGTGAAGGTTAACAACAACAACAAAAATGCCACTGGAATTCTTGGGACTAAGAGAAGAGTTTTACATCCATGAAAGAGGAACGGGAGGCTGGGGAAAAGAAACATCCAGGAACAACAAAAAATGCTCTTTGATATTTAAAATGCAAAAACTCTGAATAATAGAAGTTCTAAAAGAGAGAACATTAACAACAACAAAATGGATGAGCACAAATTATGAAGAAAAAATTTCAAGAAAATTTCCAAGAACTGAAAGACATGAGCCTAGACTGAGGTAGCCCATCTAGTACCTAGAACAGTTGTCTTAAATAGTGACATCATGGCAATCATAGAGAAACTTCAGAACATCAGGAACAAAGAGAGAATCCTACAAACTTCCAGAAAGAAAAAAAGGGCTTCAGAATCAGAATGGCACTGGTCGTGCCAACCTTTAAAATACGCAGTTTAGATCATATTTATCATATTTTCTTCTAAAATTTTTAGGTATTGGTGTTGGGAGTGGTGGTGAGTTAGGTAATAAAGTTTGTCATATTTCCAAACTAGTTAAATTGTGAATTCAGTAAAGGGAGGGACCCTGTTTTTATTAACGTATTCACGTTCTTAGAACAGTCTCTGAAGCATATTAGGTGCTCAATAAATATTTATTAAGTGGATGAATAAAACAGAAGTTCATATTACTTTTAACCTAACAATGCTTTATTATTTTTCATGGCTGCATAGAATTCCATGCTATAATGTATTTAACCTTATCGATGAACTCATTGGCTGTTTCCAGTGTTTTGCATGATTAAAATAATGCTGACTGAAATTCCCAATTCATATAGATGGGCGAACTCTTTTTAAGTATAGCCTGAGGATAAATTCCCACAAGGGCGTTTACTAGGTCTGAAGGGATCATGTGACTGGTGAAAGGGCCAAAGGAGCAACGTGAGGCTTGGGGTGGACGGGAGTGTAAGAAACCCATGGGGTGGCCGCCTCGCATTCCCAAGCACCCAGGGCATTCTCCCTGTGC